GAACAAACCTGAACGTGTTCAAACGTCTAGCGACCAGTCGTATGATGAGCGAGAATATTAATTATCGACTCTATCACGCTTTCATTCGACCACACCTACAATCAATACTGAACATTTATCCACTTCTAGCAAAAGAAAAAAAGAAACAATTAGAAGGACTAAACAGGCAAATACATCGTATCACTCATCAACGGTATGATGCTAGAAATATTGATATTGAAAATCTGCCAAAATTTCGATCACTTGAGGAATTATAGCACATCCACTTGGAGAAGTTATCGTGCAAGATGCTTGAAAAAAATCCTGGTATCACCGAGAATTTCCTTCAACATCAACTGTCGATCATCTTCCTCAACGACTATCTGATAAGTCCATCCTTAACTAAACAAAGAAGAAATACCTTCGAACGAGGAAGAGTTCCGAAAAATATTAAAAAAAGGAATAACAGAAAATGGACTATCAATACTCGACCATATTCTCTGTTATACGACAAACGACAAAGAGCCTTCACAAACACCTACAACAGCCACAGCTACAACAAATTGACCACGTGAACAAGACTCTTTTTTCTGTTCACCCTTTCTTCTCTCTCAAATATACACTGTTCTTTACTTTCTCTAACTGTACGAACCATTCTTCTATCCTTCTAAGTGTTGTTCCTCGATGTTATAAGAAAACCGTGCCCTAATTCTATATATGGCGCTTTTGTGACATCTATTTAATAAAAATGTTTTTTTTTCTCGGCTACAGGAGCGAAACTCGCTCATAGCCTCATAATAATGCTTTATAATTTAATATACATACAACAAGTGCTGATCAATATGTATTTAGATTTTAAGATTGTGCTCACACTTATTAATTTTACATTGAATCTTTTATTTTATGAAAAACGATATTTATTCTTCTACTTTTGTTCATTTGTCTCTACATTGTATATAACAGTATTCATCATATCACGTACTACTGCGTGTTTTTGAAAGGCAATAACAGTTAAAAATCTTCATCTTTTCTCAAACGTGATTCCATCACGACAGTCTTTCTCATCTACAGAACCGAAATGGCTTTTTTCTAAAGTCTCTTTTATTACGTACATATATTGCTGTCAGAGCTAAAGCTTCTCTACAGAAAGTTTCTTCCTTACATTTACGGTAGAGCTAAGTTTTTCATTTCTTTACGTCTCTCTGATTATACGATTCCGTTTTATGTGATTCCGTCACACACATGTATTTCATTGATAAAAGTAAGAATAGACAGATAAATTTGAAACCAACTTTGCACACGTGTAGAGGATTTGAGCCTACACCATTTATGAGTATTTTGTAACTTATCCAATTCCTCTATACTTCGAGATCGAAAAAAGACAGTGAAAAAACATGATTCCGTCACGCTTGGACAAGCCGTTAAATAATTGAGAATTTCATCTTTGATAAATCCAAATTTATCGACTTTTTTCTTAGCCATTTTACATTCAATATAGTGGAAAAGAGTTTTTTGCTTTTTTTGTTGAGCTGGACGATGTAGTTACAATGGCTGATTGTTCTTCATCGGCAGCATATATATCAGATGAACATATTAAACCATTATTATGTTCAAGGGTACCCCAATGATCGTATATTGACTTTTTTAATTTTCTACATACTGCTGATTTGGTCTTTGAGGGTGAATATAACTCAGTAACCCAAAGTAGTTTGAACTTGCTATCCAAAAGTGGCGAATAAATAAATATTTGGTTGCGACACAGTTCATAAGACTTTTTTTCCGTTGGATTGATTTATCCATTGTCACACCTAATGCTTCTAGCAGACCACCAAAGCGAGAGATTAATGAATTTAACAATGTGCTACATAATGAAGAGGTATATGTAACATTCAATTGTTCATTCATTAAATCAAAACGTATAGCTAACACAGTAGGTCTAAATAACGAGATCGATGATGTATGTTCCGCTTGTGTTATTGTTGTTGCTTCTGCAAATAATGTTAATAAAGATAAGAATTCTTTTAATATTCGATCATCTTTTGTGACTAAGCAAAGATCTTTGCGTTTAACCGAAAGCAGCATTTCGTTTAATTCTGAAGGTAGTATACGTAAAACTTTAACATGCCGATAGAATCCAGCTTTTCTGCAACAATTGCACTTGTGCGTGATAGTTTGGCATTTTGGACCCATTAGATAATGCAGACTGAATTGACGAAAATTGATTTAACCTATCATTAACTACCAGTTGAAGAGTGTGAGCAAAACAGAGAATACGCAACGATACATTATTCAAGTCAATGTTATCAAAAAAATTTTTGATAAGTCCAAGCAAATTCGAATCATTTCCATCGGTGGTTGATGCACAAGCTTGGTCATCACTAAATCCATCTAAATCAACGTTACTACATTCTTTGTCATCGTTTTTTGCATCGAAGTAATTTTCGAATGCTTTGATATTATTAGAAAAATTGTCTGTAACTAAACGAACTAGTTTTGCTTACAAATCAAATGTATTGACCATATTTTTCATACGTTTGCAGCAAAAGATTCACCGTGCGACTTCCATGTAAAGGTAAAAAGCAAAAACGTAAGATTTTAATGCGTTATTAACAAAAGCATGACCTAAAAGAAAATTAATTGCTAATCATCAAATCTTACTTATCTCAAAATATTTCAATGACAGAAAGAGATTGAAATTATACCTGGTATTGCAAAAAAATGGTCGTAAACGTCGATCGGATCAAATATCGAGGATCAATGAAATAATTGTGATTGGGAGCAGAACTTTTTAATTTGATCATTCATTGTATCCTATAAACGTGGAATCGTGCTCCGGCTCAACATTCTTCTGCTTATCACGATGTACTTCGAATCTACTCTAGTCTCAATCTTGATCGTTCTTTGAAAAATCTTAGTAGGATTTTCCAGGATCCTGTTTCAATTCTTTTATCTTTCTTTGTTACAAGATCTGAATAGGTTTAATTTAGAATATTGTTTTGAATCCTTGTATTTTCCCTTTCACAAGATATATAACGGTCAATCACGATCTTGGGCAGGATTTTTTCAAGTTCCTGTTCTGGATTATATGATAGGTTTGTACATGACAATCTGCTCAAGGTTTTTATAAACTATTGCTTAAGATCTTAGTAAGAATATTGGAACACAATCATAACAAGATATTTTCAAGCTTTCATCCAGATTTATCGAAAAGAATTATTCCACGATTCTTTCAAGACCTAACCACATATCTGAAACAGATCTTAACAAGAAAAAAAACACAATAACTAGATCTGTATATGAATATAGAAAGTCTTTGAAAGTTCCAAGCAGGATCCTGGTCGATATACGAATGGATTGATTGACAACTGATGTTGTAAATTGATGCAGGAGCTTTTCAAGGTCCTGCCATAAAAAAATTCCTCGGACTTTTTTAGAAATGTTAACTTCTATGAGAATCATGGGAGGAAAGTATGAGGAACTGGTCAGAATCTTCTAACGTTTTTTGTTTTACCTTCCTTCTATTGTACTTTGCAGGATTCTGATGCGTCCATACAGACTTTTCTTTTCACTATTTATAACAGAGTAACAAGGATTTATACAAGATCCTAGCTCAATTCCTGTAAGGATCCGTGCATGATTCTAAAATCTTTTCTATGAAATAGATATAAGATGAAATTCTATGTTCAAACTAATATTATCCTGAACAGACTTTGCCAAAATTTGACGAGATCTTGACTTAATAGTTTATAAAGTGTTATCCGTATTATGGCCCAGCCCCCACCCAAAATTCTATTTTCTCTATACAACATCCGATCTTGATG